GGAATGTGGAAATTGGGGAATGTGGGAATTGGGGAATGTAGAAATTGGGGATTGTAGGAATTGGGGAATGTGAGAATTGAGGAATGTGGGAATTGGGGAATGTGGGAATTGGGGAATGTGGGAATTGGAGAATATGTAAATTGGGATATGTAGGACTTGGGATATGTGGGAATTGGGGAATGTGGAAATTGGGAAATGTGGGAATTGGGGAATGTGGAAATTGGGGAATGTAGGAATTGGGGAATGTAGGAATTGGGGAATGTGAGAATTGAGGAATGTGGGAATTGGGGAATGTGGAAATTGGGATATGTGGGAATTGGGGAATTTAGATTGATCTACTTAGTTATATTGCAGTTAGGTTATGTCCAGCTAGGTTCACTTCCAAGCTACCCAACCCAGCTCAAGTATAAGTTATATTATTTAAATTGATCTACTCAATATATGTTGCATTCACTTTATGTTAAGTTAGGTTCTAACCTAACCCAGCTGATCTCTTCATAAAAGTCTCTACTCAAAATCACACACAAATAAATTACTAAAGGAACAAGAATCCAGAGTGATGTCCTCTTTAATGAACCCACTTCCTAATTCCTAATAATTTCCCAAAATCAACGTCAACTTACAGTTTGCTAAATTCCTCTTCCCGCGTTTGAAACTGTATGAGAAAGTTCAAGAACCAGCCCACAAGTTCAAGGGAGCGCCATAAATATGTTGCACACCGTTTAACCAGACTGATGACTGGCGATTCGTCGCGTGTTGTGGCTGACCTACATATTGTCTGATTGGATAACCTTTACCAATGAGAGTCAATGCCAAGTGTAACCGTAAGGGATTTTTATCACCCGGATATCTATTTTTAAGTGGTAAATGACATAACAGGTGTGCAGTGTCCTCAGAAAGATTTCATGTCTGCTGAGTCACACTTTGATTCGGGCACAAAATTGGGCCATTAGGTTTCCGTATGATTGAGGTCAAATGTCATTATTTCATTTGGTTTTTGACCTAGTTTGGAGATAAACAGGACACTATAGGGACACTGTTATGGGCCGCCAATGTTATGGGACGCCATGGAGAGATATTTAGGGCAATCTTTTAATTAGGGTCTAACCATAGAGACTTTTTTAAGTCTTAACAGTTTCTAGGTAAAATTGTGAAGGCTCATTTTTTCTAAGGTCCAAAGTATCTGTTCCATTTGTTATATTGCAGCTTCGGTACATAGCCTTGCATCACCTATGGGCTCCCTACTGTCAGGTCCATTGTTAGATGGGATCGGTAGACGCGGTGCCTTGCGACTTTCAGCCATACCTCTCTGTGCCGGGTGGATTATTATGGGCTTTGCCAACAACATCCCCTACATTTTAACAGCAAGAATCGTCTCCGGTTTTTCTATCGGTCTAATGGCGGTGCCAGCTCAGGTATTTCGTTCCCACAAATATTTTATAATCTATTTCATTTCTTTTACAAATTAATGTACTGACTGTTAACTATATTTTATCTTTTAATTCGAAAATCCCTGTATCTCTGAAGTTTAAGTTTGATCCTAAGGTGTTGTTAGCCGAAATGGCGGATCCAGGACTCCGCGGAATTCTAACAGGAAGCACACTAACCTTCTACTGCCTCGGTATCGTCATAATATACGCCTTAGGGGCCGTATTAGCTTGGAACATTGTGGCACTTTGCGGTACTGTACTTCCGGCGATGGCGTTGATCGCTCTAATCTTGATACCGGAAAGTCCAGCGTGGCTAGTAAGACGGAACAGACCCGACGAAGCTAAGAAAGCTCTCTTATGGTTGAGGGGAGGAAATTCTAAACAGGTATCCCAAATATAATTTTCTAAAAACCTAAAAAAGAATGAGGAAATTTAAATTTCCTAATTAAGTTTGGAAGATTGTAGATACTTTATTTTCCAGGTTAACTCAGAGATAGCAGTTTTAGAAGCGAGGGCAAAAACGGACTTGGCACGAACAACTGCTAATGTATCGCTGCTTCAACAAGTTTCCGCGGCAGTTTCCACCATTCTTGATCCAAGCGTCCTGAAACCTTTGACCATCATCAATATCTTCAACATACTGCAATTAATTAGCGGAACCTACGTCGTTGTCTTCTATGCCGTCAATTTCATTGAAGCAGTTGGTAAGAAAAATTTGAGTCTAGAAAATTCAACAGTGATCAGTTTTAATCGTTTGCAGGTGGTAACATCGTGAATAATTATGTGGCAGCTGTAATTACGGGGATTGTCAGGCTATTATTCAGTTTAATGGCAAGTGTTTTATTATTGAGAGTAGGGAGAAGAAGTTTGGGAATATTTTCGGCTCTGGGCACTGCTGTTGCTTCGCTGATTCTTGTGGGTTACATGGTTTTGTCGAAAGGACCATCTTCTATCGATGTACGTCATTCAAAAAAGAAAATCATATATAACATTAATATTTAAAATTATATTTTATATGTGTTTCAGATTTATGTCATTGGCATTTGTTTACTGTTATACGTCGGTGCAAACACTTTGGGCCTCATGACACTTCCAGTACTAATGGTTGCCGAGCTACTTCCGCAAAGAGCGCGGGGAATCGGTGGCGGCTGCAACTACTTCCTCTTTAATTTACTCATCTTCGTAGTTACAAAAATTTTCCCTACGGTATGCAACTATGTTTTTCATTAATTTGATCTTAAACTTTTCATTTATTCTATATTTGCATGTATTTACTGAAACAGATGTGCGAGGCGGTGGGTGTCGTCGGCATCTTCACCATTTTTGGAAGTGCCGCCATTTTAGAAGCAGTATTTATCTACCTTGCTCTACCGGAAACGAAAAATCGTACTCTTGAAGAAATTGAAAATTATTTTCAGGTATATATTCTTTTTCCTTTGGGTTGTACATATTTTTTATTCTATTTTTTATTCCAGCAAGACAATTTACTTTGGATAACAAGGTCAAGGGAAAGGAGAAAGGATGACGCGTTCATCATTAATAAAGTTTAGTGTTACGAAACGTATGTAAAATTGTACATAAATGTCTTGAAATGTTATATAATTTTATATTGTATAATATATGATTACGTGTTTCTAGTTAATTTTATTTATAACATTGTATTTCCTTATCTTAATATGTGCTAGCTATGCATTTGTATTTAACTTATATTTGAAATAAAATTAGAATAGGTTTAGTAATGAATTACATAACAGTTTCTATCAATACACAGTAGGTAATACCTTTATTCGTTTTTCTTTTGTTCCTGACAACATATTTTATATTATTTTTTAACTTTATTTAAATAATCAATAACTTTATAATCAATAACTTTACAGTTAACAATACTTTTCATAATTAAACTTCTTCACTGGTTGCTTATTGTTATGTATCATACTTATACGCATAACCTCTAAGCGTATACGTATTTAACTAGGCTAGTTGTACAACAACTAGAGTTTTGTGTTATTAAAAGGAACTGGGTGGAGGTTTTAAGCTTGAGGATTACGGAATTTTTCTCCTGCGAACTTAGCAGCGGCACCTAACTCCTCTTCGATGCGAAGAATCTGATTATATTTGGCCAAACGTTCGGAACGGCAAGGTGCGCCAGTTTTAATCTGACCGGTCGACAATCCAACGACCAGATCAGCTATAAACGTATCTTCTGTCTCTCCGGAACGATGAGATACCATTGTGCCCCAACCAGCGCTCTTGGCAAGTTTGTGCGCATTAATAGATTCTGTGACGGTTCCTATTTGGTTGACTTTCAACAACAGACAGTTACAGGCTTTCTTTTCAATAGCTGTTTTGATTCTGTAACATATAAAGACATTAGCATTCGTGGATACATTTGAATTAACTAGATATTAGAAGTTAAACATGTACCTCTCAGGATTTGTGACGGTAAGATCGTCACCCACTATCTGAATAGGGGTAGAGGCAGTCATAGTGGTCCAGGATTCCCAGTCGTCCTGGTCGAACGGATCTTCAATGGAAACGATCGGGAATTCCTTGACGAAGTCCAAGTACAGATTCTTCAAGGCTGTCGGGTCCAAGTATGTGGCTGGGTCAGACTTCTCATTTTTGAAGTCCAAATCGTATTTTCCGTTCTTATGGAACTCGGATGCAGCGACATCCATACCAATCTTTATTTTTCCCTCGTATCCAGCGACCTACAATGTCATAATGATTAGTAATCATGCAAGAACGTTAAGTGAACTGCAAAGTACAACACTAACCTTGATGGCATCCATGATTAAATTCAAGGCTTCTTTGTTCTCCAAGATGTTTGGAGCGAAACCACCCTCATCTCCAACGGCGGTGGCGTCAAGACCGAACTTCTTCTTAATTCCGGCCTTCAGATGATGGTAAACTTCGCTACCCATCTTCATCGCTTCGGTGAAGTTAGCAGCACCAGTAGGTAAAATCATGAACTCTTGCATGGCCAATTTGTTTCCAGCATGAGAACCACCATTGATAACATTGAAAGCTGGAACTGGTAAAATAATGTTGGGATTTCCTGCCAGTTCTGCAATGTATCTGTAATCATAAAAGAGTTAATAATGGCAGCCAGTTATTAAAATTTATGTGTCATGCATGAACCAAAAGCTATATTTACTTGTACAATGGCACTCCCTTCTTAGCAGCTCCTGCTTTACACACTGCCAATGAAACACCAAGAAGTGCATTTGCACCAAGCTTTGACTTATTTGGTGTGCCATCGAGTTTCAGAAGGAAGTTATCAATGTCGGTTTGTTGGGTGACTTCCAAATTTGCCTGCACAACAAATGAATTGACTATGTGAATCATTGGGTCTGAAGACTTAGTAGTAATTGTTTAATTGTTGAAATACCTTTAATAATTCAGGTGTAATGGTTTTATTAATGTTGTCTACAGCTTTGAAGACAGATTTTCCATGATACTTCGATTTGTCATTGTCTCGAAGTTCCAGAGCTTCGTGAACACCAGTTGAAGCACCTGATGGAACTGCAGCTCTGAATAGTCCATTTTCAGTTACAAGATCAACCTGTAAATGGCATAATTAGAAAAATTATCTTGGATCTGAAAGAAATATAATCAAATTTTGAATTCATATCTTACCTCCACAGTGGGGTTACCACGGGAGTCATAGATCTGACGTGCTTTGATGCTCTGAATTGGCATTTTCTGACTGGACTTTGTACTGTACTTAGAAATGAGTAATCTGAAACAGAATGATGTAAAAATAACAGAATAATTAGTCGGCAACCGTAAAGCTAGTAACATGTAGTACGAACAAAAAATCTACACAAGTTCTAAAAATATATTGTCTCTCTTTAACCTTAAACTTCGATAGCGCTGCTATTCTCAAGTTAAGTACGTTAGGTATTTGATGAAAAAGATATACGAGGAATTGAAATATGTACATATTTCCGAAATATGACACTGCTTGACCTTGACAAGGTCACTGGAAGAAACGAAATGAAATTGAAATAAAATCGCTAAATCTTTTATTTCGACGATTTGAAATACTTGCAACTCGACTCCAATATGCTCGAAATATCACGTGTAATGACCTTACGGTGAAATTTCGGCAGTTAATGCATGCGGCACGTATTACGAACATTTTTTCAGCAATCCTGAGAAAAAGGCAGGCCAAAAATGTGCAGACGACAGCGTAATATTCTTCGACAGTATGTTAAGATTCTTGGAGAGACGATCTTTTTTAAATAATGAACAAAACTTCGAGAAAATCTGCTCACCTAATGCAACGATCAACAACCTTCTACAACGCTCGCAACAGAATGATATTCTGTCCTACAGTTGACCTCGAATCACGAGCACAGCGTTAATCTCGCGAATCAATTGCACGTATGAAATCGTGGAAGTGTGAATCTGACTTATACTTGTCGATTATCAATAGTAAGCGATATTATAAGAATCAGATTCGAAACAGCAGACTTTAAATATTTATTATATATAGCTTAAAATTATCGTACGATTGAATAATAAAAATTATGTAATTTCTGACGTCGAATAGCAAATAGCCGCATATAAGTTTCTTTATGATTGACCATCTTGGCATTATATTCTTCGTGCTTTGCGATGGCGCCTTCAAAAGGCGCGAATGCAAAGTAAAATAATTTTTTGGTTTTGGATTAATCAATAAATAAATATAAAGATTATTTTTGTTGAAAGTTTATTCAAAAATATGAAAGATGTTCAGTTATTATGATACAATTTGTACATGTAGAATTACATTATATGATTGGAAGAATTGTTACTTAAACATATGTAATTTTATGAACAAATTTCGATAACAGAAGTACTGCATTCCAAGAGACAGTTCTTACAAAATCTATTATAAATAAAATTAATTTCAGGTAATACACTTAAATAAATTTGTACACTAAATATTAAATTACTGTTTTGTAACTAATTGTAAGTATTACAAGTTTTCAAATACGATCATTTACGATCATATTAACGAGTAATTAACCTTCATTAGTCCTTGATTTGTTTTCCTAAGGCATAAATATTGTATTATAGAATTTCTTCATAAGTCACATATATTCAGTCGTTTATGAACTGAAATTGTAGAGATCAAAGTACATATTTTACACAAAGGCACCTTATATAAGTATTGCAAATGTAAGGAACATAACACTGTGAAATGAATATAATAATTTCTCAAGAAACTTAAATGTATTAGATTTATGAAAGGATAATATATTAACATAATTAAAATAATGTTATTGAAAAAATATATCTATATTTTCAAATATTATTAAATTATCTCAGTCTTTCGACTACCTAAACTTTTCTTAATCAATGCCCAATCTTCAAGAATATCTGCATCATTAAGCATATAAACAATGTAAGGCCCTGCAACAGAAACTGCCCTTCTTCTTTCAGTATGATTTCGGCGTCTTCTACCATTAGAATTTAACCATAAGTCTGCATGAATATCAACATTATTCCTATCTTCCTCTAATCTGCGAATTTTTTCTTGTAAGTCACTATGAATGCAGTCCCAGATTAATTCTTTTTCGCTTTCAAAATTCTGTAGTGCAGCCTGCTCCTCTGCCAGAAACTTATTCTGTATATTTTGAAGCCTATATTGTTTCAATATTCCAGCTACTTCTGTTTTTGTTTTCATGTTTTCTTTCAAACGTTCCAATGGTATCAAATATTCTTCAGATTTTCCGACTCTTACTTCTCCTAATTTCGTATCTACTTGAGTAATCCTTTCACGGTAAAGTCTGCAATTTGTTTTTAAATTATATATTAGTAAACATCAATGAACTATGTCTTTGTTTGGTACTAATTTAAATGTAATGTAGAAAATTATTCCTTACTGCTCTTTAAGAAGAGTAAATTGTCGTTCTAAGTCGACTAAATTTTCCATGCATTCGTTGCGTCTCCTTTCACATTCATCTTCATCCATTTCAGAAGAGTCATCACTGTCTGTGTGTTCTGCACTGCTGTCACACGACGCAGAGCTCTGGTTACTTTCATTACTGTCATGTGACATTTCTTCTCCTTCTGCTTCGGATTCATCTTTAACACTTGGCATCTGTCTAGATATTAAGCTCATTTACAGGATTAAATAATAAAAACTGATTTCATGACACATTTACAACTTCGAAAACATATACAGAGCTATACAACTTATTAATTTTATTATATAAACATTGCAGTAACATAACCTCAAATATCTGTTTATATTATCACAGGAGTTGTTACATTTATAGCAATAATAAGTAAGAAATTACAAAAGAATATCACTGAACTCTGATTAATATTAAAATGTAAAATTTGTTTTAAAGAATACCGATATTCTGTTATCGAAAATTCAGGATAATTCTATCGAAGTTGTCACAGTGATTTATTGCAGTCTTATAACAAGTAACGGCATCGTTATTTACACGATATTGAAAGGCATACTTACTGCAAAATAATCGTATGTTTTTTTTGCAAAAGCAATGTCTGAAATAACTGTTATCAAGAAACAAGAACGCCTGTCACCTTTTCGACAGAATATACCATTTGTATATCTAAATATGCGGTATCTTCATGAAGCATGCGCGTTCATGTTTCTATAAAACATGCGTAGTATGTTTTCATCCGTCTACTGCACATTATGTTTTAGGAAAGTAAAAAATTACTTTCGTGACAGAAACGTTAAGAATTCTTGACAATAAGATTAAATAAATGGCTGACAAAAAGTTTAGCTATAAATAAGTAAAGGAAAAATGTCTACGGTTATATTTCTTTATAATTGTAGGATAATTTATGTACTTTAAAATTTTGCAGATAAAGAAAAGGGTAGCAGAAATCTATTACTAGGAAGTGCGTATGGGACTCCTCGTGGTCAGGAAAGGAAATCAACCAGGTATAATTTTTGTTCGTATACATATATAATATATATAGATTGTATATATATTATATACGTACATATATATATTTTCTTTTAATATATAATACTCCACCGGATACAATAATACATTTGGACCTGCATAGAACAAACAGACAGATAATGCAACATTTGCATAACTGTAAAGTATACTAGGAATTAATGTATACGGTATACATATATTTCTTGTGTGCTTTTTTTTTAATGTTCCGTGAAAACTTTCCATTAAATAGGTCTTTTCTGCGCGAAATGAAGGTACAGCTCGATTTGTGCATTTTGTTCTTTCATACGAAATTCATTCACATCTCTTTTACGGTTATAAGATTCATCACACAGGAGACGGTTACGGTAAGAATTCTTTTACTCTGTAAAATTGATGCGCGGGATCAAGCATTTTGGCAAAGGAACTCGACAACGAATCTATTACAATTAAAATTCTTTTACAAATTTGAAAAAATGAAGGTGAATTAAAAATGATGTAGGCACTTGATTGTTTTTTTTCTTTACAGGTAATTTCAGTGTCGCGAGACCGCGTTCAACGTACATATAAAAGTTGTATGCAGCGATTCGATGGGTGCTGCTTGTTTCGGAAGAAAAAATGTTTCCGAGGATTTGTCGGTTTATCAGAAGTCGAGCAAATGGTTCCTTACCATACACATCTATTGTGCACACGCGCAGTTTCACGTTATAGCGGATTTCTTTTTCTTTGGTTTCCTTTTTCTCTCTCTTTTTTTTTAGAAAATTTCAAAAAGTTCGCCGTTATATCTGTGTAACAACAATTTCATACAGATTTTTCTTAATACTCATGCAATATTTATCACAGCGCCATCGTGGTTCATTTCAACGTAACTGATTTTTAAAAAAGAAAATGCACACAGAAGTCTACATATAACATAAGTATCTTAAAATTGAAACACGATATTTATTTCAAGTTTGCATTTTATCTATCGATTTTCAGAAAATAATGTAGAGATATAAAATAAAAGATATGAAAATATTTTATCTTACATTTATCGCGTTTCAATAAATGAAGTATTCGGTAGGAAATAGTTGCAGTAGAGCTTCTTGAAGCTGTCATAGTAACACGTGCTGTACCATAGTAATATGTGATATCGAACTGCGAAGGCGCTGTGTTCTTACCTAATTTGCTGATCAACCTTACTTGTGGTTAATACGAGTCTTCACATTGTACACGATCATAAAGTTTTAAATCTAACAGCTTAGATTAATAAATATAAAACAGATAGGAATAATTGTAATTTATATAGGAATTACAATGGCGTCACTGTGGCATTTAACGTGTCAATAATCTATATTATCGTGTGCCGTATGGCTATTTCCACCGAGTCGGTCAATATATTAATAAATTAGGAAGGGTGTGCGGATATAGCCAAGATAACGGCTTCGGAACGGGTCGGAAAAATTCGGTGGAGATCGGGTAAGCATGAGTTCAACTCCATATTGGTTCAGTATTTTAATTTTATGTTATTTGATTCAGGTTGTGACTCAATTTGGATACTAGCGTGATTCAATTCGATGTAATTTTGGCAGGACTCAATTCGAATTCGTCGCTTTTGAATTTGGCGCGCTACGGTCATTCAAGATGGTCGCCCGAACTTTTCCGACTCCATCCGAAACTGGGACTAAGAACCACCCTTTGTTAAAATTTTTCTACAAAAATAATACAAATTATAGTGTACATGAAAGTACAATTTGCAGTATACTTAAAGAATGTAGAATATGATCGTGTATAGCGCGAACGACATGTTACATATTCGGTTTTCCTCCCTATCATTGAACACGTATTTTCTCTCTGAGGCAAAGTATTCGTTGCTTTTCACGGTCGAGAAACTTTAGGATACTTTGCAAGGAACACTCGCAATCGTGGTGGCAGATGTAATTACATTTGTAATACGAGAAATAGGCCTGTATGTACTATTGCTAGTATGTTTTCGCGATTGTGAGTAAATTTGATTGTTCTGTACTTTCATAAGTCCCATAAAGTCTGCAAAAATAATACAAACTAATGATAACTTGTAGGGTGAACCTAAGTTGTAAGATTAGTTGTGAACTATTTGTTACATGAATAATTATTATTACTTGTTATATGAACATTTGTTATATGGACATTTGTTATACGTCCCTGTGGGGTGTGTTTTAAAACACAGTCAGACCGAAGATGTTAAAGAAGGATATCTCGGTTATTATTAATTTTTGAACCTGTATACCCCAGTACTTTTTTATTAGGAATTCAACACTCTTTTTAATTACGCTATTGAACTATGTTACTAATAAAAAACTCAAGGTTTCTGATGAAAGACTAAAATAATAATAAATTGATCTTAGTTGAAGTTTAATACTAAAATACCGAAATGTTACAGAACGAACAGTAATTAAATTTCTGTGTGTGCTTTGGTAGCGATGACGTGTTCGGCGACCATCCGCAAATGGAATTATGTGATAATTTTAGAGAGTGGCAATTCGCTATCCCCGATAACGAGCGATACAAATAAATTGACCTCAGAGAGAAACAGAGACAGATAAACACGACGAGGAAGATACAGAAATAAAGGGGTTCCATATTCCAAGAACCACCTAGGAAATTGACATTGCGCAGAGGGATACACCCTAACGTTCGCATACTTTTCTGCCTTAAATCGCGAGTAAAAATCTATATAGTTGTCTTTTGACGGTCAAAGGTTTCGCCTATCATTAGTGTGATTTTGATTGTACGCTATAAAAATTGTGTCGCTACGATGGCAAGTCGTACGTCAAGCGTGAAAAAGTATTCTCTTCATTTTTTATTTATGTTAATCATTTATATAAGGTATGCTCGTGTTTTTGTTGCATTTGTAGCATTCGTGCAGGAAAACATTGTCTTACAATTTTATTCCACTGTATTTTAACAGCGACTCTTTCGACTCTCGTTATATTGCCGAAAACGGAACTCGCAGAAGGGCTGTGTTTTATTTCAAATTTATAAGTGTGGGAATTTAGGAAGTTGTGTAATAGAATAATTTTGATTTTTAATGGATTTATCGAATGTTGTACAGTGTGATATTTTTCTCGTCCCCGATTAGGGTGTACAGCTTCTATGACGAAAATTGCGATTCGTGCTCGGCTGTATCTGCCACGAGCATGCATCTGTCGTTAATTCGTGTGTCACAGAGCGTTTCAAAGTCGCCTCGTTACAAGGGAGCAATATTGGAAAGTGCTACCACGGCTAACAAAGAAATCGATAACCTGTATCCTCTCAAAGTACAAAATCCATTAGGTCGCTTATAAGCGTGACAAGATGCAATGGCACGTATGCGAAAAAAATTATTAATAAGCGATACATTGATTTAGATGTGATACGCTGGACCTTCATAATATTTCGATCATACGATCAGCTTTAATCGCTTGATGGTCTTTTGTAAATAGAGATGGAATTGAGACTTTTCTACTTTTCAAATTTACAAATTTTTAATTCAATTTTTTCCACTTTCACAATTTGTCAATTGTTCAGTTTTCCAATTTCCCAATTTCCTAATTCTCCAGCTTCCTAATTTCCCAATTTCTATATTCCCTAATTCCCTAATCCCCTAATTTCCTAATTCCCCATTTTCCAAATTTCCCATTTTTCTAATTTCCCAATTTCCTAATTCCCCATTTTCCTAATTTCCTAATTCCCCAATTTCCTAATTACCCAATTTCCTAATTTCCCAATTTCCTGATCCCCCAATTTCCTAATTTCCCATTTTTCCTAATTTCCCAATTTCCTAATTCCCCAACTGCCTAATTTCCCAATTTCCTAATTTCCCATTTTCCTAATTTCCCAATTTCCTAATTCCCCAACTTCCTAATCCTCCAATTTCCTAATCCCCCAATTTCCTAATTTCCCAATTCCCCAATTTCCATTTTCCCAACTTCCCCAGATTCTCAAATTTATTTCTCCAACATCATCCATCAAAAAAGTTCTCAACTGCCCTGAAATGGAAATAATGACCCAGGAATAAATAACGAAACGTACATTACGTGAAACATAAATTATATATTTAATTTTATTTCATTTCAACGAGGCACTGAAATTATAATCCTTGTATTAAAATATCCTGTATGCCAATTGCTTGTTGTATTCTGATTGTGTTGATTCACGTATTTGAAATCACAATGATTTCTTTTTATACGAAGTACATTTGTGTCTTCGTTGTTCTTCAAAGAACAGCATAGGAAAGATAAGGAACGCCATCATTCTTTAAAGCTTCTCAGTTCCTCCGCATGAGGTCACTAGTCTACTCCACTAGAGTCTTCATAACAAAATGAGATGACAAATATTTTTGGAAATAAGATATTTAATGTATCAACAATATTTTAAGCTCCTCCAGTTAATTTATTTATACAGACTTTTTAATTAAAACGTTATAAAAATGGTACAGAACGTCCACAATTTTTAAATTAATCATTAAATTATTAAGGTGTTCCACCCATTATACACAAAATGATAATAGCTTACATGCTCCCGAAAATATAATCAAGATCCGTACGTTGTACGAAGGTTATCATTGGGAACAATTTACATACGTACAGTTTAGTTGGAACAGGAATGTGTACATGAAATCCGAGCGTCGAAACACAAGTTCGAAAGATACACAGAAAGATAAGTAGCTCAAGCCTTGCTCAGAGTTGTACAATGCAAACATGAAATTAGTTTCTCGATTGCAGCTGGTGAACCAAAGGGTCGAGTGTAATGTGAACGTCTTTTGACATTCCTTGGGAGCTTTAGGTCTTCTGGGATTTTGGGAGATTGGGACTTGGGGAGAGTGGGACTTAGGGAAATTGGGACTTAGGGAGATTGGCACTTGGGAGAGTGGGGGATTTGAAGAGAGTGGGACTTGGAGAGATTGGGACTTCAGGAGAGTGGGACTTGAGAGAGTGGGGGACTTGGGAGAGTGGGACTTGTGGGAGTGGGGGACTTGGGAGAGTGGGACTTGAGTGAGTGGGGTATTTGGGAGAGTGGGACTTGTGAGAGTGGGGGACTTGGGAGAGTGGGAC